CCTTGTCGAGTCCATTGAAGTATGTGAGCGTCCAGTTCGGTAGTTGGTCGTCGACGTAGACGTCCTTGATAGGTCGGTCGTCGCGTCTTCGGGGGTAGAAGCGACTTTCTTTCTTGGGTGAGAGATGCCAGAGACACTTATCGTCGAGGCATTCTGCCCAAAATAATTCTTCGTGGAATGCGTCCTTGGTGTTGAGCAAGGAGCTATCTCCTTTGACTAGTGGTGTCATAGGTACTTCCTTAGGTTGACTAGTTCCGTGGAACTGTACTGTCTGGTCGTCTTCGTACGGATCAATGTTCTTACACCGTGGTTCTTCGGGTTCCTCATCAGAGCTGGTGTCGTCCACACTAGGATAGAATCCATGGTCGATCTCCGTCTGAGCACGTCGTCGAGCGACGTCGCGAGGTTCGTCCGAATCATAGGGTGATTCTTCGTCGAAGGTGTGGCTGCTGGAGCCGATCTCAAGTTCGTCCTTCTTGAGTCGAAAGTCTACCTTTCCATTCTTGATTTCGAAGTCAAGATTGGGCCTCTTGATTACTTCGATTTTGTCTTCGCGTTCTAGGTTCTTGAGTTGTTCTTTGACCTTGCGAATGAATTTTTTGTTTCCGTCGTCTCGTCGCATCACACAGATGGATTTGGTCGGGATGTCGTCCGATGGGGTCCCTTCTTCCTAAGGGATTGTTTCTTGTTGTTTCGTCGTGCCATGTGGACGAGATTACCCATGATTTCTTCTGTGTCGGGGCCTCTTTCTTCGAATTTGAGGAGTTGCTCCCTTGTACTTGCCTGAAGTCTTTGCATGATTCTTTCTTCAAGGAGATGAAGGGTATCCTTCATGATGGGGTCTGTCTTGGCCTTCTCTTCTATATTCTGGCAGATTTGAGAGAGTATGGCGACATTCGATGTTGTTATCCTCGAGGTGAGAGGTCGGTAGATGGGTATCTCTTCTTCTGGTTGCCACCGCTAGAGTCTTGACAGGTGGTGGGGTGGTGTCGTATCCGGGTCGTTCGTTGTTCTTGGGTTTTTAGGGTACCATCCGGTTTGTTCCTTACTGTCTTGGTGAATAAGGCAGTTGTCGTCGTAACAAGCCGTCCATGAGAGTTGTGCGTGGGAATTTCCTTGCTCGCGATATTGGCTCGTTTTTCTGGAACGGGTTGGTGTTGGATGCGTTTGGGTTGTCGGCAGTCTCTAGCCATGTGTCCTGGCTTGTCGCAGTTGTAGCATTTGAAGTCCTTCCTGGGGCGGTTGTCTTCTCTCTTGGCGACACTGAGATCCATGGGACCGTCATGTTGTCCGTAGGCAGTGCTTTGTCGGTTGTTGTTCCAGTTGTTGCGAGGTCGCTGGTTCGCCTGGAAACTGCGTTGAGGTTGCCATTGGTACTTGCGTCCGGTGTTAGGTCGTTCCTTCCTTTCCTTCTTGCGTTCATAGAGTCGGTTGTCAATTCTGATGGCGAGTTCTCCGTACTGAAGTCTTCTGGTCTGTCGAGCTTGACCAGCTCGTCCTGACTTCGTCCTTCAGTCCTTGGTAGAACATGAACATTTTGGTGTCGTCAGTGAGGTCCAGTTGGGCACTGAGACGTCTGAATTCGGCGGAATATTCCTTTGCCGATTTGGTTTGTCGTAGCTGCGCTAGGTCGCGTTCAGCTTGTCGTTTCTCGTCAGGGTCCTGGAATAGGGACCTGAGAGCTTCTTCGAATCCATTGAAGTTACTGTAGATGTCGCGTACTTCAGTAGAGCACTCGTCAAGAGTTTCTTTGCTGAGATATTCTTCCTGGATAGGTTCAAACCACTTGAGGGCTCGTCCCCTGAGGAAGCTGGCGGCGTGCACAACTTTCTCGGTTTCGCTGGTGAAGTCTCCGTGATGGAAGTTCTGATAGTTTTTGACTTGAATCAGAAATCGCTTGAGAGTACCTGGGGTGCCGTCATAGGTGATGGGTGCGCTGAGTTTGAGTTTCTGTCGTCCTCCTGGATGGGGTACCAATGATGTTGGCAGCGGCTCGGAGTGTTGACCTCTCCTGAAGCGCCTGAACATTGGTACTTGCTTGCTTCTTGTTCTCTGAGTCGGATGACTTCGTTCTCCAGGTCCTGAATGCGCTGAGGGCCATTCCCGAACTGCTGGATCATGATCTTGAGGTTTTGGAGCTCATTCGCGGTTTCGTTGTACATGGTCTGTACCTTGGCGATGTCTGCGTCTCCTTTCTTGACTCTCTCGCGGTCGATCGTAGGTCTCTTTTTGAGGTGACCTCATCGTCGGAGTCGACGTTCATAGGAGCTGTCTCCATTTCCTCGGCCAGGCTTCGAACAGGTTGTTTGGAAGAGGCTGAAGAGCCCGGGTAGGAGAGATTTGGCTGAGGCGCGGGACGACATCGTTCGTACTGTTTAGTTAGTTTTTCGTAGAGTGAACTTACTGAACAGGAGCAATCAAAGTGTTACGGCCAGCTAGTCGTAGTGAGTATGTTAGCAGAAGTTGAGGCTGCGATAACTAAGTAAACAGTGTCGTAGTCGTGGATAGCTTCCTGAAGCTATGTCTGTAAATCGTAAGGTGGGTAAGGCTTCGGTGATCAATCGTAGTCTTGTCAGAAGGGTTCTCAGTGAAGATAGCTGAAAGCGATCGTAAGATCTGATACTAAGTTGATTGCTGAAGAAGCTATGGAAGTCTGTCCTTGTGCCCGGCTCAAGTCCACACTATATACAAGTCTCGTTCCTGAACATATTCTTTGTCCGTATGTTTACCCAACGGTTCCCGTGTTCTGAACATACGGGTTCCGTATCGTGAAAGGACGGACCCCGTATCTCGAACGTACGGAGTTCCTTATCTCTTATCGTCACGTGACTTGTCCCATAGTTCTTCCGTCCCGAGAGGAGTCGCCCTGAGTTCGTGTTCCCGCATATATGGTGTGGTAGCCGCCGTAGGTCCTGTGGGGCAGGCCCTGGCCTTGTCATGCGTGTTGGGTCGTAACACTATATAATAATTTTTAAAATATATAAAAACTTTTAAATAACTACTAAAGAATAGCTAAGCCCTAAAAGGTTTATTTATAATTAAAAAACTTAAGTTTATAAAGCTAATATTAAAAAAGGACTAGTTAGTCTTATTAAGAGTACCTTTAAATAGCTAAATCTTTTATAATACGTATTTTTATATTTCTAAAAACCTTTTTTTACTTATTTTTAACTAATTATATCCTATAATAAATAAAATCCGAACTATACTTTTTAAAAACGCTTCTATTTTTTAAATAAAATAAACGACTTAGTTTACTAACTAAGTTTATAATATTTTTAAAGCCTCCTTAGCCTCCTACTTTTTATACTTTATTTTGTTTTTTTTAAAATAATAATTTATTATAATAAGTTAATATTACAATAATTAATAAATAAAAAAACTTATAAATATTCGCTATGTTATTATTATTATAATTTAATAAACTATAAGTAGCGTACTTATTATAGCGCTTAGAATTAAATAAATTTATTTTATATACGTAATTATATTAAAAATAAAAAAATATAATATTATATTATATCCTTTATACGCTATAAAAATACCGAGAGCTTAATAATTATACTTAATTTTATTATAACGGGCTTTATAAAAATTAGGTTTTTAAATACGACCTAATATAATATTAAGATATTATAAAAATAAGCTTAATAAACCCTAACCTAAGTTATAACTACTTATTTATAAATTTATAGGATTAAACCTTTAAAAAAAAACTAATATTATAACTTAATATATATAACTAATTTAAAACTAGCCCATAAATATAATAACTATAATATACTATATATATAAATAAAATAAAAATATAACTACTCCTTATAAAATAAAAAAATTATAAAATAAGTTATATATTAATAAAATAAAAATTATTTCGGATTAAAATAATTTAATATAACTTAGGGCTAAATAATTATTTTAAACTAAATTAATTATAAACGACCTAAAAATAAAGGATATATTTAAAAATAGGACTTATATATAATATAAACTTAAACTAAATTTAAAAATAGACTTTTTATAACTTCTCTAATAATTAACTTAGTATTAAATTTTATAATTACTTTTAGCTATTTTTACTAAGAACTCCTTTTAATAAAACTATAATTAATTATTAAAACCTTATTTATTTTATAACTTATAAATATAGCTTTAAAGAAGCTATTTACGACTACGATACTATTTATTTAGTATTCGTAGCCTTAACTTCTACTAATATACTTACTACGACTAGCTAGCCGTAACACTTTAGAATTAGTAGTCTTGGCTACTTTTACTACTACGCCTATTCCTAAAGTCGCTGACCCGGGAATCGAACCCCGAAAGTCACCTGCTCACCGCCACTTCCGAAGAGGAATCGGAGGATCTAATAAGTGCTTTTTTTCTCTTAGAACGACACTGTATAGCGGATCGGTATCTTAGGATCGGACTTTTAGCCAGATTTCCTCCAATTCGGTTAAGCTTCCTAGTTTAATTTGGTCGCGAGCACTAAACTTAATCGCCATTAACGATCTGAAACGAAACCCGTTTTAAGTCGTATATTCTTTCTTCAATCGCTACTACCTGATAACTCTTGTCTTAGAGAATATAGGAAATATTTCAAGCTAATTGAAAATCCCAAGAACAGACTATAGACATATGCTGTTCTTCCCAGAAGACAACTGCCCACCCTTGAGCTCAAAGCTTCACCTCAGCAGCTATCAACCCCTCTTCAAACAATTCATTCATATGCAAAAATGGCTCTCAAATACAATAAACTTGCGGACAAGAAGCAACATTTATAATAAACCTTGTTTTAATTGTCACTGGTTTGTTTGATGTCTCGCGCATGAATATCCTTCGCGATATTGTACCTTTCACGTTGTGTGTGATACTCGCATCGCTCTCAGCTCTTCACGCATAACCTCATTACTTAGAACACCCGGTCTTACGTTGGTTTGTTTTCATCGAGCGAATGGGGCTGAATTCTTATATTTTTGCAGTACTTGGAAAGGGTAGCGTTAATGAGTGACTTCAGATGACGCGATGCCTTCCGTACAATCGGTTGCCTCCAGTGGCACATCCGAGAAGAAAGCTCCATGAGCAGCATCTAGGGAAGCCTGAAAGGCAACGTTATTAAACGGTACCTGTGTCTTCTCGTACCTCACATCATTTAATGCCTGCTGAACTACCTTATCAAGAGAATCCCAGCTCACGGGAGTACGCTGGAAAAGTCGACCGTCGTCTCTGCCACTGTAGGGAGAAATGGCGTTGTCATGTATTTGCACATGGAAGGCGGATGTTTGGTCGCCTCTGGCAGAAACTCATTTCTCGTGATCAGTCGTAAAAGATATACCAACAGAACGCAAGTCCTTCATAGTGGCACCATCGCAAGTCGATTTGGCAATCCAGACGACAACACTCGCCCAGTAATGGCGGTGGCCCTCTTCGTCTCCCTTGCCCCAGCGAACCTTTGGGACGTAGTAGCTGTACATTATGCCTCGATGGCCGTTGCTGATTCCTCGTCGAATATAAACCTGAGCTTTGCCGCCGTCGTCGCAGCCGCTTCTTCCGCCTCCATTAGGCCGTAATCCAGCACTACCGTGTGACTTTAGCTCATGTACCATTCTCAAGATGTGCTTCACCAACTCACCCGAGAGATCCATCAGCGTTGACAGCAGAATAAGGATCGCAGCCTCCCGAAACAAAAAGCAAAGGGTTGTATTTAGACTCAAGCTGTCCCGCGAACCCAGAGGATGTCATCTGAGGAAGTGCGATGACTGCATTATGGTTGATTGTGGGATGACCTCCATAATTATCCCCGCCGCGTGGTAATACGGATGTAAGAGCGGCTCGTGGAAGGAATCCGACACAAAGCAATATACCCAAAAACATTGCCTGTTCTGCTTTTTTGACAACAAGTGGGAAAAGGGTCGAGAGTTTGACGATGCTATGCAAGGTATCAGACAGATGGGGGATTGATATAAGTTGGCACTGTTCCCCTTTTCTGCTTTCTGGTTCTTCTCTTAGGAGCCACTCTTTCCAATAGATACCCTAACTTTGTGGAGCAACCAAAACGAGGTATAGTATAGTGCACAAGTTTCTCGCGTCCGCAAAGGAGGTAGAGTACACATTTGATTTGCAAACACCAAGCTATCCGGTAATTGCAATAAACTCTCATCAGGTAGGTTTATCGTTCCGGAACTTTGAACGGACAGATTGACAAGATTTCGCCATGGCTTGGACGCACTTGACGAGGGCGCTGCTTGTGTAGAATGACTAGAACACTAAAATGAGTAAAAGTAGATCCCATTCCTCTTAGTATTTAGTGGCGTCAGGGGCATCAAGCAGAGATCACACCGGTGAGAGGTTCTAAAGAAGTGGACCCACTAGTCGCAAGCGATTTCTACGTGGTAATACTGTCTCTATTCCGCAGCCGGTTAATTGCAGTCCAGCAGAGGCGTAGTCCCATGCATAAGTATGATGCAGAAAAGAAGCCAGTGTCGAGACATGAAGTCCCAACCCACGATAAAGTCTCTTAATTAGAGCTTGAGCCTTGGTCAGAATGAATTTCGTATTAAGCTTTCGCCTGGGATTTACTTCGCATGATTTATTGTCATCATTTTTGTTGTTGACATCTGTAAGTATTGATAATTTCCATTTCACATAAATATCAGATGTCGATATAGATCATTGTAGGGCGTGGTTGGCCGCCTAATAATGGAAAATTCTTGACTTCTCGCTCACATGTTTGTAGTGTAACTCAAGCTATGTTAAGTCTAGTCTAGGATTCTCTAGTTGGGTATATTTAGATAGCTTTGAAACTGGACGAGAACCCTCATGTATGGTCGACATCGATCCATTCTCTTACTCACTCTTGGCGATGCCAGCGTGGGAAGCGGAAGATTGATAGTCATATCCCCCTACGCTAAGACTGAAGCATGACGGTTGACTTCGGCTAGGAACATTCGTAAAAGCAATATCTCTCCATCTAGGGACCCGCGTGTTCACCGGTAGTGAGCGGAAGTTTTGGCAATACGCAATCCCCAACGACAGTCAAGCGAAGGATTGAATGATTTAGATGTGTCGAGAAGTCACCATTTCCATCATTTCGGTGCGACGTCTCGAAATGGTCGACATACAAGAGGAACAGGAACAAACTGCCGATTATAGCATGCCCATACAGGCCATGCAAGTCTCGCTCACAGGTCTCATTCTCAAAATGCATATGTGATCGAGGCAGGCTACTGTAGTTTCAAAGAAGAATGCAGAATGATTGAAGTCGACAAGATGCAATGCGAGAAATCAGTGTGACTTGCCCCCTCCAATCCCTAGACTTAATTAGCCTGAGACGCAGGCTTCAAGAAATGTGCAAAAGCATTGCGAGCTGATGATTCTGATCCAATATCGCGATTTCGAGCTGCATATGGATGACCTCGCTGCAGCATTCTCCCAGCGATACATTACGTTTCTGGGTCGCCGACGAAACAGAGTCTTTGGTCACTCTCGTCACAACTAACATCTCCAGGCTAGCGGCAGTCTGCGATGGGAAGCAGAAGATGAGCGCCAACTCGAAGATGCATACAGAGACATGGCCATTCACTTGTTTGTTGCCATCTAATTATCGAAGAATTCCTTCGAGGAAGCATAGCTCTTCTGACACAGGGTCTGTCAAGTCTACACATCGACGGAAAGCCATGCGATTGGTCCGAGTTTGCGGCCATTACGGGTAGTGAGGGAAGGGAGGAATCAAGACCATGAATGTTGTGAACAGTAATGAGAACGTTGACGTCAGTCAGAGCAGAGTTGTCAACTCTGCTGAGCGTGGTACACTTCAAAACCACATTTTCCAAGGCAAACATCGTATGTCGAAGCGACAACCCCTACGGAGGTTTCCCAGATGTTTGAGTCTTGATACTAATTCTTCCCATCACGGCAAAAGTTGAAAGACAAAAGGCTAAAGCGCGATCCACTATTCTTCGAGGTAGAACAATCAGTACCGTTGATGGAAACTTCAGAGAAGATCAGACAAAGTTCGCCGATACGTATTGGCGATCCGGGTTGCTTCCACCATACGAACAGTGACGGTTCTCAAGCAATTGAAATTCTCTCTTTCCCCTCCACCGTTTGTGAACCTTGCTCGGGCATCTTCATGGCACCTATGGGGCTGAATATGTCGACTACGTTCAAGCCCTTACTCGGCTTATATGATGGCGGGAGCCTATCGGCAAGCCATCTTCAATTCAAATAGTCCCCGTAGTCCACAAAACCTGTCCGTGATGAGCAGCTTCCTCAGCCTTACAAACAACTGATTAGAACGGTCTGATATGGAGTACCTATGGAAGACAACCGTTGGGGGTTTTATTGGAAGCGAGTCTTAATCACAGTTCAGCGATTGGTCATAATGAAGTTCGTATTGATTCAGGGGTGCAAGGCTGCTATGAGGTACTTCGGACCCCACGCACCAAGCTGTTCAGAACAGAACGTGATGAGACGATCTACTTTACAACACTCATAGAAAGTGGATCTGATTTGAAGTTCAAAATCGTTCTCGTAATTGTTGAATTTTACTTAAATGGGAGAGATGAGGTCTAGAAAGCTTTTGTCATGATCCGAGTCCAGGGGGCGGGGGGTTCAGGGCTCTGACCAATAGAAGCACAGCATGTATTCTCTTGGCCATTCTTACTGCCCGATACGGCAATTCGAGGAACCGACTCGCCGCCACTTACAGCCGCAAAGATCGACAATACTCGGTGTTCGGCGCCTTGGAAATAACGATTGCGAATGACGATTGACGTCAGCTCAAAAATGATGGGTGGTGTCATTGAGCCGACCTTTATCGTGGTCTTTCTCACTGCCGAGCGAATGTAAAGAAAGATATAATAAGCGTTGGCATCTTCCACTTGCTCTCTCTTTGCTCAAGGAACAAATCCATATCTCTCACTGCAATATCACAACTCAAAATCTTCAACAAACAAAGATCCACCATTCACAGAACCAACCTATACCAATTCGCATACCTCAGAAGGAGACAATGGGCTCCTCCAGCAGTAAAAACAGCGACCCCTACTGGTGGGGCTACATCGACGACGGGAAGGGCTGGACGGCGCGCCCCAAATCCGAATACATGAAGACGCCGGCGTACAACAAGCAGCTGCGCCGGCAGATGAAGCAAGAGTCTCTGGCAAAGGGTGGAAGCGGTCATATCTCCATGGCAGAACAGTCTCGGAAACAGTGGTAGCATTCGCTTCATCGAGGCCTTCACGGGAAGGCCTTTACAGGTTGGGTCTTTATGTGTGTAAGATAGTCAGGTCGGTGACGCAGCTTTGCTCGAGGCATGCCAGATGCCAGAATTTAGGTACTTCATATCATCGTACATTCGATGAAGCCGTCCTGGAGGAGATTGTCGTTTCGTTGATGTAATACAGCCATTCATTGTAGACGCTGCTCAAGGCCAAATTCTACAACAAAGACGAAAGGGAAGATGAAGGGGTAATCGGGACAACCACAGCAAGACACTCTAAACGTAAAAGTCATTTGATACCTAAGCTTTTGGCCCCCTTCACATCAGGAGGCAATCCTATAGCCAGATGTACACTACAGTTACACGCTCCAGACCACATCACATATTCGTGAAATCCAGATCTCATTTTGTGCTCGCTTTCTCTATCCCGAAGTTCCCATGAGTGAATCGTGGCCTACCACAAAATCCTCATCTCTGTATCTGCATATCCTCGTTCTTCAACTCAAAGAACCCCCTCTAACTTGAGATATTTACTGCGTCTTCTTGGCCACAGTCGCAGTACCGGAAGGCGCGCTGTACATCCACACAGCCGAGAACAGCACAAAGCCAGTGACGGTGGCGAAGATGCCAGACAACCAGGGCCAGGCGCCCGAGATGACGTACGAGCGAGGCCACTCATCGTGGGCCATGTGGCGGACGGACACGGTGTTCTTCTCCTCGACGTTGGTGAAGAAGGGGCGCTTGTAGTTGACCTTGAAGTTGAAGATGCCGTGCTGGTCAGGCAGGATGAAGGAGGTGGTGTAAGTGGTGGCGTCGGCGGTGCTAGCCTTGGCGGCGAGCGGGATCCGGTGGAAGGGGGAGAGCATGCTGAACTCGAGCTGGAGGTCGTCACCGCTGGGGACAGTGAAGGGGGTCCACTTGTCCCAGGAGTACTCGGAAACGGAGATGGAGTAGGTCTGCTCAGGGGGTTAGCCTTTTCTTGTTCTTCTCTGAGCATCTAACTCAGAATGACTTACGACTTCGTTCTTAATGCGGTAGAGCTCGGGGTTGGTCTCGTTGGCAGCCTCGTTGAGGTAGTGCTCAATGTGGTTGACGCGAAGGACACCAGTCTCCTGGAAAGTCCAGCCGGCAACTCTCTTGGCGAACTCGCGGTTCCAGGTCTTGACCTCCTTGCCAGCAGCCGCGGGCTTGATCTTGGCGTCGAACCACTTGTCGCTCAGCAACTCGGCAGATCCAACAAGGGTGAAGCGAGCGCTGTTGCGCGCCTGGAAAGCTGAGACGAGAGCGAGCTGCTCGCCGGTGGCAAACAGGTCGCTGGCCTCAACGACCTCGGCCTGCTCCTTGGGGTTGTAGCTGTAGGCCGTCTTGGGGGCGCGCAGGATCGGGGTGAGGAGCTGGCCGGCACCGAGGACGTGGCCGACGCCGTTGGGGAAGGCAATAACCTCGCCGTCCTCGTGGAAGAAGTTCTTGACGCCGGTGCGGGCCGACTTGGGGGCGGGGATGGCGAGGACGTCGTGCTTCTCGGAGGCGCTGACGGTGTCGTAGTTGAAGTGGTCGACGACGAGGCCGGTGCGGTCGGCGGGGAGGGCGATGTCGAGCTCGGCCAGAAGGCTCACGATGGAGGTCGGAACGGTGGACTCGGAGGAGAGGGACAGGAGGATGTTGCCCTTGGCGTTGATAAACTGGAGAAGAATGTTGGGGGTCAGGTTGGGACCGAGACCTGGAGATGCCATTGTAAGTATAGCATTGACAGAGTCTGGAACTTCAATTGAGTCGCATACCCTTGCTCTTAGACGGGAAGAGCAGAACGTGGTCGTAAACACGCTCGCCGAGCTTGAATAGGTTCAGAGACTCGCTCTTGGGCGTCTCGTATGAGATGCTGAATCCGCGGCCTATTTCGAACAATTGGTTAGCCAATCGCATTTCTTGTCTTTCCATTGCCCTCATTCACGAGATTTTGCATGATCTCAAATAACGTCCCACGTACTTTCCAAATCTCCGAGGAACTTGGAGTATCCCTCCTTCTCAGCAACATCGTCGAGAATTGCCAGAAGCCGGCCGCCAGTGACGCTAACAGCGTGCACAGCGGCAGCCAGAAATAGCAGACAGAGCGAAAGAAGAGACCGCATGATCGACGAAATTCGAAAGACAAATTCGTAGGAGGAGGGGGTGGTGGGTTGGGAGGTTCAAGAAAAAAAGAGAAAGTTGGGCGCACAGCTGGGGTGCGTTGCGTTGCGTAGCTGTCTGCGCGGGAGAGCTTGACATGCACTTTTGGGATCCGGTGCATGTGTCTTGAAGCTTGGGGATACGTAGCCGTTGCCAAGCTAAGGTAGTGGTCGGAGAATCCCCGGCAGGTGGGTGGGAGGTCCATTCCCGGGACCTGAGGTGCCTGGCCTGAGCTTCTCGTCTCGCATTCCAACAGGGGTACGTACCCGCCGCGTACCTCAGAGAGCACAGGTTATTCCGACGAGGTTTATCCGACCCTGGCCGGGCCCCGGCACTCTTGCGGCTCCATTCTGAGCTTCGGTCATCGTGGAAAGACGTTCGTCTAGCGATAGCAACAATCATTTGACGACACACCATACGGTCAATTGAGTACGTCACGCCAAGCAATCGCATCGCCGCCTTCTGTACTTTATTCGCATTGCTAATTGTCAATTTCACAGCACCCAAACAATGTCCTCCGCCGCATCTCCCCGATTCTGGGCCGGGCCCATTCGCTACTGCCGCTGGGCATCCCGCGAGAAGCCAGCCTACTTCTGGTCCGTCGTCCTCGGCGCCCTCGGCCCCATCCAGCTGGCCGTCGTCCCTCCCGTCAGAAACTTCATTGGCGACTACAACGCGCCCCCCATCCCCGTCACATACCCTGGTGAGTCTCGAAAAACGAAAACACCGCGAAAGGCCGATAGGGCTGGCTTCCCTCCCTCTTCGCGGAGAGCATGGAAAGGAAACAGAAGCAATGCTAATGACGCTGGATGTTACACAGTTCCCGCAGGACCCAGAAAGCAGCTGACGGGCTATGACGACGAATGAACCCCCGCCGCAAGATAAAATCTAAAAAATCCAAAATACTCGGCGAAGGAAGAAAGCTATTGTAAATATGAACGGCGTTCGGGCTCTAGACAGCGAACAAGGGCTGAAGTGGCTATTCAGGCGAGCTGCTGAACTGAAGCTACAACTTGCGGCTCGCGGGGTCGAACTTCCACCCAGGAGATGATCTGTTTTAAGGCTTATGCTGTACACTACCAGTCACGCGAAGTTGCAATTCACTCGTGGCCCACTCCAAGTCGTTCAATTGCGGCAATGATGATTTACCAAGAGAGACAGAGCGAGAGAGAGAGAGAGAGGACGCCAATTCTATGCTAGCCTGGTAGAAATCCGCTATGCCCCCTTATAAACTTGATCGGATGCGATTGCCACCCTTCCCATAACTTTTGTTGCCGGCAATGGCCAGACTCTATCTGTCCCGCTGGACAAGGTTCCACTCGTACTGCGCAACCGCGTTAGAAACCACAAGCTCTGTAAAGCGAAAGGTAGTGTAAACTTACCACTCGCCCGTCATCATCTCCTGTGTAGACGCATTGCGGCATGGGCGTGATGCAAGTAATGCCTGCGTCGTAATTGGCTCCCACTTCTGATCGTGGATCGGTATGGTCCAAGCGGCGGAGCAGCTCCAATACCCACTTCCCGTTCTTGACGCACTTCTTCCAAACGTTCACACGGCCTCTCTTGTGGCCGGTGAAGACCAGGCAATTCTCAACCCACTCGTCGCCAGCACTTTCGTAAAATGCACATGAGTGAACGTAGTCGTCAGGTTCAGCGCACACATTCTGGTCGACGAGGACTGTGCCGTTAAGGGTGTATAGGATGACGTTGGGGCCGGATCCAAGCATGATCTCGCCAGAGACGTCATTGATGCGGGCGCACTCCACGGGCCGCGAGAGAGGCAACTTGCGGATGAACTCTAGACGGTTGATATCCCAGAGGAAAGCCTGGCCATCCGTCGACGCCGACACAAACGTGCTGAAGGACTTGGACACGGCTATGCTCGTCACGGGAGCCCGGTGACCAAAGAGCGACGACCGAGGCAAAAGATCAACTACTTTCCCGGGCGCTGTCTGCACAGCGTATACGGAGATGACGCAATCCTCTCCCGCTGTGATGAGCGTCTTCGAGTCTGCAAAGATGGCGCAAGATAACTGTCCAATGTGAAGATTCTCAAATAGTCCCGCGGGCTTGTGGCCATTAGCAAATCCCTCAGTAACAGTCCTGTCAGGCTGTCTTACCTTCCGGTTGTCGCTGAAAAAGAAGCGGACACTGTTATCGGCATAGCCCCATTCGAGGAACTTGTCGTACGGAGCCACGTTTAGGCGGAAAGGTGAGGCACATATGAGGCGGTCTATCTTTGGCGAGTAGATCAGGGTCGCTACTCTCTCGTGGGATTCTAGGACTTTCGTTAGTTGTGACCAGTCTGTGTTGGGATGAAGCATACCGAGCAGTGGGTGGGAGAGCCTAGTCAGAGCATAGACCGAGGTATCCAACCGCCGTATTGGGCAAGAAAAGTGCTCGCGGCCAGGATGAGACCTAGTGAACACCTGGTGAGGAGTCTGACCAAAGTTGTGGATGACGCCAGCAGTAATGCGCCTCTCTTGCGGATCGCTGATGTTGTCTAAGTCTGTTGCTCCACGGTACGAGAGATGATGGAAAACATTGAGGTTATCTACAGCTGCGTCCCCTCTCTGCTTGTACCCAAATATCAGGTCGATCCAGTTGTGCAGGTGCTGGCTGACATAGGGACTCTCAAGTGCTTCGCGATGCTTGGCAATGAAGATCTTGGGGTCACCCTTAGCCCAGGGAGGCAGGACAACATTATTGACCTTTGCTCCTGTGCTTTCGCGATTGCCAAAGTTATACTGATTGATGTTGGTCAAGAATTCTGGAAGGCAGAAGAACTCCGGTATCAGCTCTCTGACATCGGCCTTGTTGTCGCACGAGGCAGACTGCCACGCGTGAGGAATCGACTGGAACAGACGGTCGGCATGGTCAAACGATCCGCCTTGAAGGAGTATATAAGACTGAACGAAGGGTGGAAGGCGAATGAGATATGACGACACAATCATGGCTGATGAGTAGTGGGTGCCGTAGTGGAACGGAGTTTCACCTATCTCTGCCAGGGCATCGTACGATTCCCTGAACCCGGACACGCGGCCAGCCGTCTGAGCACCCATCGGCTTTGAGAGGTCCCGGAAAGTTGCCGGATCGTTCAGATTGAGCTCCTCGCTCGTATAATCTGCGAGAACCCAAGGGAAGACGGGGTACTGAGTCAAGTCGTTGAATGTACGTCCAGCCATCGTGTTGACCAGCATGAGGTAGTGGAAATTGGACATTTCTCCCTTCTGCCACTTCTTCATGGCGGGATTCCAGGGCGTGGAGTTGAAGATGCTTCCAAACTTCGAACCAAAGCCTTGGGGCATTTCTTCCGATACCTTCAGCGCTTCAAGACGCCAAGCATCCTCGGGATTCGGAAGTGAGCTAGCGGAGTTTGTATGCGGCGCCTTGTTCATGAGCTTGCCAAAGACCTCGTCTCTCAGGATCGGGTTCATGGACGTCAGTAAGTAGCTGCGTCCATCTGTAAAGAAGACCTCGATCGCGACATCTCGGAAAAGGAATCTTCTCTTGGAGATACTGATTACATCATGCCATCTCCAGCTGCGAGATTCCTGTTCACTCCGGCTTGAGCTCTGGCGTTGCTCCGTCGTTTTGGCGTCCGTGATGATCTCCGAGAAAGGGTCTCGTTCCTCAGGAGGTGCCTGCCAGGCATTGACAATCTCTCCAGAAGCACACTGGAAGACGTTGTCCATGATATATAAGGCATCCTTGCCAATGATGAGAATTCCCTCACATCCCTCAAGACCGACGATGCGGGAGATGTTGTACACGGCTTGGACTTGGTCACCTTGTTCAAGCCGCCGCATAACCTTGCGGTTCTTGTCCTCGAAGCCATCATCGCCTTCGTTGGCATCGTTCGGATCGTCAACAAGCTCAAAATCTTCTTCGGCGCCTACGCCAGACTCATTTGTCTCCGCGTCCTGGTCAACATCCGGCGGGGTACCGGGGTTTTCTGCACCATCGAGGCTCGGAATAGATTGTACACGTGATGATGCCGGTGTAGCTGACTTGATGGGCGACGGTGCGATTTGCGCGGGGGCCATAGCAGTGTTGACTTTCAGGGCTGAAGGAGTGGAGGGCTCTCCTGCTCTCCTCTTCGGTTGGTAGTCTGAATGCTTCTTAGAATAGTCAGGCAGAAGCCTCAGACGCATCCGGTTGCGTCCTTCAGTCCGATCAAGCTTCCACTTAAGCTGAGCTTGCTCGCTAAATACAGCACCTGGGCGCCGCAGATCATTGTCCATCTTGACAAATGCCGCACCCAGGAAGGCCATATCATCCTGCTGGTCTTGTGTCAGACGCTGATGCTTGAAGTGCTCGCTGGTAAAGATGCTCTTCATCCAGGCCCCGTTCGCCATGTCGTGACGGAGGAGGATGTTATCCACGGTAAGTGCCTCCGTCTGCCATGATTTTAGTCGATCTCTGCGCTTCGCTAATCGGAACTTAGCCGAATCAACCGTTCGCTGGTTTTCGACAACGACAAACTCCTCCCAGATCTTCGATATGCCACCGAAAAAAAATGCATCAAGTGACGCACGATGTTGGTCCACCCATTCGATGAAAGCCTCGTCGTCGATTTCGGTGAGCTTCACAACGAAATCCTTCGTCAGGTGCTGCTGGTCTGGTGCTACACATTGTCTGAATAACACTTTGGACTCATGGGGCTTCTGGACAAGCATGATGCGCATGATCGTAGCTGCGGCAGACCTGACGGATGTTCGGGGATCAACCAGCTTCGAGTACAGTTGATACCAGAAAAGCTTCATGTACTCCTCCTCGTTCGCAAGGCAGCCCAGAATCGGAGCTTGCCAGTAGAGAATGTTACTCAAGAATTCCTTTGCGCTGGCGTCCGGCGTGTCTGGATCGTCCAGTTCTGAAAACCGCAACAGAAGAAGCTTCAAGAATGATTGACGGATGGTTCCAACGGCTTGACTGCACAGGCGAACGCTCTTCATGGTCGATACTTCGGGCCTTTGGAGGTACTCTAGCACCATGCCAGCGAACTCTAGCATGGGCTCAGTACCGTTAATGAACCAGCCCTCGAAGATGGTATCGGTGACGTGCGCCGCAAGTCTACCCATGTTGGTAAGAACCTTAGGCTCGCTGAGAA